GGGGAACATAGGGATGACCCCAATTTCACAGGTCAATACTGTAACCAGCAGAGTGTCCCTGAACATTACAAAGTAGTTCTTGCTCACAACTGTGAGGGGGACAAAACTTCAACTGTTATAAAAAGAAAAAAGAACACTAAATATTTACTGTGATGGATCACACATCTTAATAAAGCTTTTTTTTATTTCAGGACCACTACTTCAGTCTCACAGTCATCTTCATCTGTTTAACCTAATATGTTTATCTGTCCACTAACAACTCTCTCAGTTGTCCTCAGTGTGTTTTTTATGTGACATTTGCCAATCACCGGTTCCTCCACCTGCCTGAGCAACTGTAATTTATATTGACCTTTTAACTCATGTGTTCAAGTAGGAAAAATAACCAGTAGTGTTCTTTAACAAAAGACAGGGTTTTTTGTGCATTTCAACCTTGCACTGTACCCTGACCTGTCATAATGAAAGCAATTTAACTCACCATCCATATCTGAACTATCCTCTGTGAGAGTCTTTTGGGGGGAGAAGAGGTTAGAACCTCCACCTGAAGAACAAGAGCAAACACAAAGTGGCTTTTCATAAATGCAGTTTAGGAAAGGAAGACACACTGAAAGCATGCAACTGTATCTGTACAGAGGGATGCAATATGAGTTTACATGAGAGATGTGCATTAGTCACTTTTTCAGGCTATACCAGCACTGATTAACAACCCTGCTATGGCTGCAATGAATGTGAAACATTGTTTAAATATTTTAAACATCTGTTGACTTTAGGAACAATAATTATTTGCTGCTTTTTTTGCCAAATTTTTAAGAACTTACCTGTTTCTTTCACTGCCACCTTTTTTCCTCTTTTCTTCTGTGGACGCTTTTTAACCAGGTTTGTTCCTGGGCTCTGATCTACAACAATAACAGACTGACATTAGTTTCTGTTAGTTAATGAGATCTCAGGTATAATGGATATGAAGGTCCACCAAGACCTGACACCTGGCTGCTAACTCTTGAACATTTGAAAGTTCCAGATGACAACAATTATAAATGCCACAATAAAAGAGCACTAAATATTTACTGGGATGGATTATCCATCTCAATAAAGCTACAAATTGACTGTAGTAAAACTACTGCTGATGAACTAAAGAATGCAAGCCATTTAACTCACCATCTATGGCTGAACTCTCAGAATCTCCATCTGAAAAACAAAAGCAAATGAGTGACAAAAGTGACAGCTCATTCTATCCAGTGTAGGGAAGGATACTGAAAGCAACTGTATCTGCAATTGATAGCATCAAACATACAAGCGTTTATATAGACAGGTTTGAAGCATCCTTATTTTAAGAAACGTACCATTATCCACGTCCCTGGCTCATTTCTTTCCCCTCTGTGGGACAGTGATGGAGGTCAATGAGGGACTTCTACCTGTGGAATTTAACAAACGGCAAAAATATTAAAGGAGACATATTATGCCCCTTTTCAGGTTCATAATTGTATTTTGTGGCTCTACTACAATAGGTTTAGATGTTTTAATGTTCAA